GTGACCAGCAGATAATCATTGCTAGAAATTTCATGGAATACCAGACCAAACGTGGCGGTCGTGTTATACTGAGCGACATTCAAACGTATCCAAAACAGGACGGCTGGACACCACTGGAGGCAATGGCTAAAACTATATTAGTGGAAACGGGTATAACTCAGGCTCTAATCAAACAGAACGCATTGGCCGATAGAGTCAAGGATTCCGATTACAGCGGCTTTTTGTTTAACTTTTTGAGAGAGCAGATTCGCGATGTTAAGGAATTGAGTGATCACGTGACACGATTGAAGCGAGTGGGCCCAGGAATCGGCGAATATCTATATGATAAAAATTCTATAATGAAAAAATAATACTTTGACAATATTAATCGGGATTCTTATTATTAAAAAAATTGTTCTTAATATGTGATATGTTATTTACAATATAAATTGCTAGAATTGTAAATGTTGTAATTTTAAGTTATTTAATTCAATAGTTTTATTTTATATGTTTGCGCTTTTGTTGAATATTTGATAACTATATAAGATTGATTAAAACAAACATGGATATCATACCTTAATTAAAAATTTTATTAATTTTAAATTAAATGTTAAATTATTGTTTTTTTAAAATAATTTTTACCTAACTTAAATTAAATTATAACTAATATATAATAAAATAACCGGTGATTTTATATTTTAAATGACACATTAAAATAAATATAATTAATGTTATTAAGAAATTATCTAATTTCATAACTCAATTGTTATAAATCAGGTTGTCTTATTTTACTTATACATAATATATGTTGTATCCTCATTATCTATAAATAGTCATCACTATATATAATTACGTTATTTACAAAATAAATGCCTTTTTATTAAATAATTTTGTTTTGTTTTTTGTTTGAAAATGAATTAAAACTTGATTAAAATTTGACATTAAGAAAGAAGTGTCTCGAGTGTCTCTCCACCTCCTCTATATAACGTACCGTTATATTTGACTATTCATTATTATCCGGTTATATAGGAATAAATGGTTTGCTCTTTTTTGCTCACTTATACGATAAGGTATAGATTTATTTACTTTAATTGAACTTCAGTACGTTATGGATTATGGTTTTTTTATTTGCATTTTTGATCTATTCTATTGTTTAGATTTTGAATAAGACTACAAGATTACAATTAATAAAACACTAAATATATAAATTATTTAATTATAAATTACTTTATTTTAGTTAACTGTTGATTAATTAATTATTATACAACTTACATGTTAAATAATTAATATATAATATTATGTAATCATATTAATTAATTAAACAAATATAATTTGTTTTTACAAATAACATATTGAGATATTCATTTACAGTCTGTAAGTCTAATAAGTTGATGTGGTATTTTAAAAACTAAAAATGTCAAGGGTTATTATTTGTTCGTTATTGGTCATATGTAAGTTAAAACCAATTGTGTAAATACCATTCAGACTAAATTAATGATGTTTTATACAATATTTAATTGATTTTAATAACAATTTTGTTGATAGGCTTAGCAATATTTGCTAACGCAGTAAGTAATCAAAATTTTAATGTCAATAAAATATTTTCAACATGCTCAATTTGAAATAATTTGTAGAATGTCGCTGAAAGCCAAATACGACAGAATCTGCACCCGGAAATTGAGTTCGCTATCAATAATATCACTAACAGTGAATTCATGGCTTATTATTTCTACGAACAGATGGTGAGATTACTAATTAAATACAAGTTGCCATTAGACCCAAACATGAATTTATATTAATTAATTAAATTGATAGCTAAAATAATTAATTTCATATAAATCGCAATATCACAATTATCAAATAGGCATGGTAATTCAACCGCGACAGCGTAGCGTTGCCAGGTTTTCACGAGTTTTTTAAGAGAAGTGCTGACGATTTGATGCGGGTCGCTAGAAAGTTCATGGAGTACCAGAACAAACGTGGTGGCCGTGTTATATTGAGCGACATTTCTGCGTTTCCAAGACGGGACAGCTGGACACCACTGGAGGCCATAGCAAAGTCTATATGGGTTGAGCAACTTGTCAATCAAAACCTACTGAAACAGAACGCATTGGCCGAGAGTATCAAGGATTCTCATTTTAGCAACTTTTTGTCCAACTTTATAAATGAAGAGGTTATCGTTCTTAAGGAGTTGGCTGATCACATGACCCAATTGCAACGAGCTGGCCCAGGAATTGGCGAATATC